AGCTGACAGCCATTGTAGGTTAAAAAGTAGTGGGGCAACATGTTACACGTAGTGCTTCTGGAAGGTTAGATGCTATTAGAATAAAATCATTGCCATTATGAGGAGCTGGGAAAATGGATATCTTCAGTCTAGTCTAAAAATGGATGACTTGAATAAACTTATATAAGAAAGACAAGAAAAACCTTTGTACTCACTGGAACATTTCATAATCTTGACTTTTTTCAAACATAAATCTATGCCATTTTTCTTATTTAAAACAGCTGAGTAGTTTACTCTCCCATGTAGGGCTGGGATCCTTACATGCCCTTTTGTGATCTAACCCCAGCCTGCCTCCCTGGCCTCTCTCTTTGCTGAATAACCTCTAGCCATATGAACCTGGAATATGAGTCTCATTCCCACTTCAAGGCCTTTATACTTGTTTCCTCTGCCTGGAGTGCTCTTCCCTCATATCTTCATGACACTTGTTCATTTACATCTTAACTCAAAGCATACCTCCTCAGGGAGGTCTTTCCTAGACACTATCTGAGGTACACTCCTGCACCCCCAGCCTTCATGATTGCTCTGTATCCCATTACTGGGTTTTGTCTCCATTAGAACTTATCACTTATTACTGTCCAAAATGATTTCATTTATTTATGATTTTTTTAGCCACCTTTTTCTTATATAAATAAAGTTCCTGAGGACAGCGAGTTTATTCTGTATACTGCAGTATCCCTTCCCTGACATCAGGGCCTGTGCCTGCCTGTAGTAGATGCTTTCTAAATATGTTCTGAATATAGAGAGCTAGTTCCCAAATGCACTGTATTGAAAATGTATGAAAATTGGAAATTGGCTTCTAGATTTTTATATTATATTGCCAAGTGATGGAATGTTGAGACTGAAATCTACTACTTTTTGCCTTTTTTTTTTGGTGGAGCAGAGGAAGGCATGCACAAACATCAGACACACATACAGTAAATAAGATTTGTTTCAGCCTGCAAGTATTTATTGAGTACCTGCTGTTTATGGCTTAACATGAAAATTTGGGGAAAAAGTCACTCTTTGTGAGTGACTAGTTTCTTGGAGTCTGTTAAAGCGTCGGTTTGAGCATCAGCTCTCTATGGTATGATTTAATGTTTCTTTTTTTACTTTATAAACATGAGGCTGCCTTCCATTATTGTTAAATTTAAATGTTTTACATTGGAAAAAAGTAAGTTGAATTTTGAAATGAGGTCTTTCCCAGTCTTACTTTTATGGTTTCAGGTTATCAAAGTTTTAATTTCTCTTTGTATGGAAAGTAAGTATAATATTCACTTATAAATTGCTCCTAAGTAAAGCCACAAGTCTCAAGATTACTTTATTTTTCTTTTTTAAAAATTAGAATTGTCAATATATAGTTGTATACATTTATGGAGTACAAAGTGATGTAATAATATATGAATACAATGTAGAACAATTAAAAGCTAGTTAATGTATCAATTCATCTCAAATATTTAACATTTTTTGAAATTTACTCTTAGCAATTTTGAAATGTGCAATTCTCTATTATTAACTATATTCACCACACTATGCAATAGATCTCAAATATACAAAAAAAATGTTCTTCTTGTTTAACTGTAGCTTTGTATCCATTGACCGTCATTTCCCCATTCCCCTGCGCCTGTAACTTCTGTAACCGCCATGCTCCTCTCCACTTCTATGATTTTGATGGTTTTCAATTCTATGTGTAAGTGAGAACATGCTGTATTTGTCTTTTTGTGCCTTATTTCACGTAGCATAATGTTCTCCAGTTCTGCCCATGCTGTTGCAAATGACTGAATTTCTTTCTAAAGGCTTAATAGTATTCCATTGTGTGTATCTACCACCTTTTATTTATCTATTCATCTGTTGATGGACACTTCCATAACTGGGCATGGGAGTACAGATATCTTTTCAATAAACTGATTTAAAATCTTTGGGGTAAATACCCAGCAGTGGGATTACTAGATCATGTGGTAATTCTATTTTTAGTTTTTTGAGGAACCTCTGCACTGTTTTCCACAATGTTGTAGTAATTTACATTCCCATTAACAGAGTAGAGGGGTTCCATTTCTCCACATCCTGTTTACTCAGGCAATACGTTATCATCTAAGACTTCAATATTATATAACTTTTGAGTATTTTTTAAAGTGGACACTCAAGACTTCATATAGTTGTTAATGTGTGGTTCATCAGACCTGTGGTATTGACGTCACCTGGGAATTTGTTAGGAATGCAGATTCCCGGGCCCCCTATGGCCTTAGTCAAAAATTGTGGGGATTGCGTCCAGCACTCTTTTTTAAAAAGTCCTCCAAGTGATTCCAATGCTTACTAAGGTTTGAGAACCGTGGCTCAGTAAATGTTAAAGGTTCAAGGTAGTGTGATCCCACAAATCAGCCAGGTGGCATTAATTATTAGCCTGGTAAGCCCACCTTCTTTTCAGTCACTGAGTGTGATTGGTTCACTAAGGCTAGGCTGTAAAGTTTTTTGCTAGATTGATTGCTACATATTGACTTTGGGTTGTTTGTATTTCTCTGAACCTGTCACTATAATGATTTGCCAGGACACTTAATAGGAACAGGCCGTGATTTTTTGCACCCATGGCTTTCTGCGTCATGGGTGGCTGGGTCCTTATCCACTCCTGGATAGGTTTCCTCAGGTACTGAGCATGCCATTCATGAACTTTTAAGGAGGGAGCTATCACTGGTGGATCACAGGGGACCTTCAGGGACATTTAGTTCACTTTCAGCTTGGTTTACAGGTAGGGAAATTGAGCCCCCATGAGGTTGTGCTTTGCTTGCAGTTAGGCGTACAGACAGGATTTCAGGTCTCCTGAGTTCCTCCACTGCATCAGGTTTCCTGCAGGGGGACAGAGCTACAGCTTTTTTCGTGCCTACAGTACATTCCCTTCTTACTGTGAGGGTTTTATTTATTTATTATTTAAATAAAAAAAGTAAATAGAAAAAAGCCCAGAAGTTCTCACTGAAGCTAATAAAAGTGTCTAAAGAGAATGAAAAAAAATCAGTTTGAGAACTTTGGTATGGAGGAAATAACCTGACATTAAATGTTTTAATTATAGTTGTTGCATTGGGCTTATCAGTGTGGGAAGAGGGAGCATTTCAGCCTTACAGGGAAGTGGGATATGGACAACAAGATGACCCTCTTCCTGAATTTGCCTGCTTGGGCCTGCAGCCTGGTGACTCTGTGTGATCCCAGCAGCTGTCAAAGAGATGGGTTGGACTTAGTAGAGACCTGGGTCCCAGGCCCAGCACTGCCACCAGCTAGTGGTGCAATGTCCCATAAAGAGGCCTTTTATTCTCCCTGGCCTTCACTACTGGTAAATAGGTATAATAATATCCACCCTGCCAATCCTGAGAAATTTCAGGTAGTGGGAAGCAGTATATTTCTGTGGTTAAGAGCCGAGTCTCTGGATTCAAATTCTGGCTTTCTAACTCACTGACAGTAGGCAGGCCACTTATCCTCCCTGTTTTCTCACCTGAGAATGGGTATAATGAAATTTACTTATGAAGATTGAATTAGTTAGCTAATTTATGTAAAGTACGTAGAACAGTGCCTGGTATTTAGTAAGTTCTGTGTTAGTTCCTATTATTATTACTATTACTATTTAAAAATATTATTTTAAGGATAGGATGCATTTTCTATAAACATATTCTTAAATGATTCCACTAATGGATACAGTACTGGGCAAATAAAGGGCTTTTATGCAGTAATTGTTGGTGAAGGAGCTCTGACATCCAGCTTACACCTGGGCTGCTGGTTTTGATACCAGGGATGGGCAGGCCTAGAGTCTCTGATTTTGCACAATTTATACATAGAGTGGTGTGGCTAGAGGAAGCTTGGAGGTGGAAACGTCTCAGTTTTGCTTTCAGGTATTTATACATGAACTGTCATAAGAGGTGGACATCTTAATAACCTTCAAGAAAGAGTTCATGAGCTTCAATTTTGATATTTATTGTTTGACTAGGTTTCTTTCTGTCTTACCTTTCCAGTTGTTAGGATTCTCAGTATGTGTCTTGTTGGTGAAAATTTCAACTCCAAGAGCTAAACAATCAAGATATTGTAATTATCCAGGAAATGATTGGTGGATTTTGGATAGACTTCTTCCATTCCTGACTGAAATCAATGAAAATTTCTACTATTGCTGTTTTGTTCTTTTTTTCTGAAAAGTCTGTTTTTGAGAGGGACTCAGATGGTAAAGTGTCTTTTCATTGTCCTTTAAAGGGAATGGGGGAATCACAAGTTTGAGAATTTTTGTTCTATCTGTATGTATAAAATTACCTTCTCCTTTTATTTATTTTGATACCCTCTCTACAGTCTCCATTCATGATCGACTCCCCATCTTTTTATAGGGCCCTTAAAGTAGAGATTATGTTTTATTTGCTTATCTATGTCTTACATTACTTCTTTTTACTGGATCCTAATTTAGTGCCTGGAAATACTAGGCTCTCAACTTCAGTTTGTTGAATGACTGTTATTGCCATTTCTGATTACTTCTCCAAGTGGTCTTTATTTTTTTTTTAAACCTTCAAAGCTACTGCAGAAGTGGTCTGTTTTAAAAATTCACCTGAAAGCTAAGTAGTTATTCAGTATCATGGTGTTCTATTATTTACCTAGCATTTTCCTATTCATTAATGAATCCTTAAATACTCATCAGAAGTATCTAAATCCCAAGATGATCTGTCATGTCATAGATGGTAGAGCTTTAATTTTTAATTGGGAGATGGAGATGTTACAGCTGGAGGTATTGAAACACAGGGAACTAAGAGCATTGTTCAAGACCACAAAGGTGGTTATTATTGGAAGATACTTTTGGGATGGGCTTCTGTGCTAGAAGCCAAAAAAATAAAGAACTGACTAAAACTTTAAAAAGAAACCCAGATTAGGTGGGAAAGAATGTTGATCTGGATTGGATTACATTTCTTTGGTGTCTGAGGGTTATGATTAGTGACTTATTTCTAATGTGCATTTGTTTTTATTTTTAGCATTGCAGTGTCGAGATGGCTATGAACCCTGTGTAAATGAAGGAATATGTGTTACCTACCACAATGGTACAGGATACTGCAAGTAAGTTTTTCTCTTCGTATATTTTCTTTTTAAGATAGAACAACTGGACAAGATTCTATTCCTCTATTTTTAATGCTTCTGTGGAATGTTACTGGTTCTTGAGCTTTCCTGGTACAGATTTTGGTTGGGGGTGAGGATGGAAGGATGTGGATGCCTGATAATTGGTCAATAAGAACTTCTTACTATCTTACTGTTATCTTTCTCATTATGAAAAATACTTTTCAGTGAGTGGCCACTTAATGTATACTGGGTAGGCTGGGTGTAGTGGCTCGTGCCTGTAATCTCAGCACTTTGGGAGGCTGAGGCAGGTGGATCACAAGGTCAGGAGTTCAAGACCAACCTGGCCAACATAGTGAAACTCCAACTCTACTAAAAATACAAAAATTAGCCGGATGTGTTGGTGCCTACCTGTAGTCCCAGCTACTCAAGAGGCTGAGACAGGAGAACCACTTGAACCCAGGTGGCAGAGGTTGCAGTGAGCTGAGACCATGCACTCCAGCCACAGAGTGAGACTGCATCTCAAAAAAAAAGATCAGTCCATCAATCAATCAGTTTATCTACCAGATTCCCTTGTGTTTTTCAGTTTAAGGCATACTCTTAGAGTCTTCCCTTACCATGTTAGCTATCATCTTGTTTTTAAGTAAAACCAAATCGATACCAATTTTAACATTCTACTCAGTATATGTAAATATTATACTCATATTTTTTCTAGTGTAAAAATATTCTGAAAGTGAGAGTGAGAGAGGAAGATGTATGCATATGTGTAGAAGGGGCGGGAAGCAGGGGGTGTGAGTGTGTATTATTATATGTGGATAAAAGAGTAAGGATGAAGAAAATGTAGGCTAATTCTTGGTTCAAGAGCATTTTTTTCCCCTTTTTCTCCAGCCATCTACTCTAGCCAAGACATTTTGTTTGTTTGAGGAAGGCTGTGAGATAATTTCATAATAGCTTTTCTAGGTTTCCTCCAAACATTTTTTTTTCTCCTATATCATTTGAAAATTTTTGAGATGAATATGTATCCATTCTATTTATTTCAGGGAAGATGTTGGAAAAATAAGATCTGGTAATATGAAATTTATCTTCTTTTCCTTCACTTTTATGAGGTGTAGTTTTTCTTTGCTTTGGTAGAGGTACTTGCTTAATAAGCATTTTAAGTGAGTTTATCCAACACATTTTATTTTTTACCAGAAATATAATTAGGACTTTTTCCCACTGAGATCCATCCTGACACCAGGATTTAAATTTTTTAATGTTATAAAGAAGATTTTTTTTTCAAGTCAGAAACAATTTTCTTCACTAAAGTGAAAATATTTTAAGCTGTGATGACAGTAAAGCTTAACAATAGGTTGTTTGGATTGGAATAAAGACAACATTGGAAATAAAGTTTTTTTGTAGCTGATTATGGGCTGCTCATTTAGTTTTTCTAGTTGGGGAAAAAAAAAACATGGTGCATTCTCCTCTAAGAATGGAGATACAACTGGAGATAATAACGGAGGGAACTTAAAACCTAAGAGTTGGCCGCTGAAATCTTGTTTAGTTTCTTTGTGGCATCTGGTCCCTTAGTTGCTTGCTTTTTTCTGTTATTCAACTCTTGCATTAGTTAACCCACTGCATTATGGTCATTTGTTGATGTGTTTCTTTATTCTACTAGAATGTGAGGTCTTAGTTTTATGCATTTTTTGCATAGTTAATGCCTTGTACAGTGCCTGGTGTAGCTATGGTTCGACAATGTATTTTTAAACAAAAAGATGCTAAGTAGATATCATCACACACTTATTTCCTATCTATTTACGTTTAATAAGACACTGGTTCTCTCCTTTAAAATTACAGTGTGGCGATTCCTCAAGGATCTAGAACCAGAAATACCCATTTGGCCTAGCAATCCCATTACTGGGCATATACCCAAAGGATTATAAGTCATTCTACTATAAGAGCACATACACACATATATTTATTACAGTACTATTTACAGTGGCAAAGACTTGGAGCCAACCCAAATGCCCAACTATGATAGACTGGATAAAGAAAATGTGGGGTCAGGCATGGTGGCTCACACCTATAATCCCAGCACTTTGGGAGGCTGAGGTGGGTAGATCACCTGAGGTTAGGAGTTCAAGACAAGCCTGGCCAACGTGGTGAAACCCTGTCTCTACTAAAAATATAAAAATTAGCTGGGCATGGTGGTAAGAGCTTGTAATCCCAGCTACTCAGGAGGTGGAGGCAGGAGAATCACTTGAACCCAGGAGGCAGAGGTTGCAGTGAGCTGAGATTGTGCCACTGCACTCCAGTGTGGGCAACAGCAGTGAAACTCCATCTCATAAAAAAAAAAAAAAAAAGGAAAATGTGGCACATATATACCATGGAATACTACGCAGCCATAAAAAAGAGTGAATTCATGTCCTTTAAAGGGACCTGGATGAAGCTGGTAGACATTATTGTCAGCAAACTAACACAGGAACAGAAGGCCAAACACTGCATGTTTTCACTCATAAATGGGAGCTGAACAGTGAGAATACATAGTCATAGGGAGGGGAACATCACACACTGAGTCTTTTCGGGGGTTGGGGAGAAGGGGAGGAAGAGCATTAGGACAAATACCTAATGCATGTAGGGCTTAAAATCTAGATGATGAGTCGACAGGTTGACAGGTGCAGCAGACCACCATGGCACATGTCTACCTATATAACAAACCTGTACATTCTGCACATGTATCCCAGAACTTGAAGTAAAATTAAAAAAATTTTTATGTACTTCACATAGCATTTAGGATGGTAATACCTCTTTAGAGAGGCAAGTTAAGTTAGTTCTATTTGAAGATCATTCAACTTGGTGACTTATATATGGAGAATTTCAAATAGCTTCTAAGTGTTGGCCCATATATTTTTGGTTTGACATGGGGAGAGAAGGTTTCTAGGGAAGGCCAATCTCTGAGCACTTAACAAGAGAAGACACCTAAGGGTCAGTGTTGGGAAGAAGTCCAATAGTTCTTTTTTTGTTAAGTGCATTTTAGGTTTTGGGGTACATGTGAAGAACATGCAAGATTGTTGCATAGGTACACACATGGCAGTGTGGTTTGCTGCCTTCCTCCCTATCACCTATATCTGGCATTTCTCCCCATGCTATCTCTCCCCAACTCCCCACCCCCGCAATAGTTCTTTGCTGGACTGTTGGGTCGCTAGTCTCCTACTCTTCAGCCAAGGTTGGAGAGACAAAGTTGCCCTCAGTGCCTGGAAGAAACACTGCTTGAGTGCAGGCAACTGTGGTTGGTCAAAATGGAGCTGCCTATATTCTGTCCCCGGGTACTTGTTTATTGCTGATAGGATGGAATTCTTATGGATACAGTTTTGGGTATGTCCCTCAGGTGTCTCTCCTGTTGTGAGGGAAACAAACTCTTTGAGTAAGAAAAAATTTGGGGGCTGGGCACGGTGGCTCACACCTGTAATCCCAGCACTTTGGGAGGCCAAGGCGGGTGGATCACGAGGTCAAGAGATCAAGACCATCATGGTCAACATGGTGAAACCCCATCTCTACTAAAAATACATGGTGGAGTGTGCTTGTAGTCCCAGCTGCTCAGGAGGCTGAGTCAGGAGCATTGCTTGAACCCGTGAGGCGGAGGTTGCCATGGGCCAAGATAGCACCATTGCACTCCAGCCTGGGCAACAGGAGCGAAACTCCATCTCAAAAAAAAAAAAAAAAAAGAAAAAGAAAAAATTTGGTGAGGCCATCCTTTAGGGAGACCAAGATGGACAACAAAACATGTATAAGGAGTGATTCCCTACCTCAGCAAAAGTAAATCTTTAGGAGTGGCAGGGTCAACATAAGTGGACACAGACAAAGCAAGAACAATATCAAGGCAGCCATGTCAATCATTCTACAATGCTTTGCCAACCTCCACAGAATTCTACGCAAAATTTTATGCAAAAATAATGTGTACTTAGCAGAGTTTTCAGTATATTTTCACCAGCGTTACCTTTTTTCCCTGGAGAAGATGATCTAGCTTATTCAGTAAATATTATTTTTACAAAATAGTAAATAAATATTAAAACACTGAGAAGGTTTATAAAAACATTCTGTCAGGCATTCAGGGCATGTGATTATCTTTTTATTCATGAGATTGCTTAGTGGATTAAGAAAAGAAAGTTGAAACTAAATTCCTTTTACAGGGCCAGGGTAGGGGTGAGTGGTGAGTGGTGTGATGGGAACTGGTAGAAAATGTTTTAAAATAGGAGGAATCTGACTCTCTGTTTACAAAGAGCATATGCCACTGATTCAGCTAAAATATAATGATTGTTTACAGAAATTATAAAAATCCTTGATAAGATCACATTGACAGATGAAGATAAGTACTTTAGAAGATTAGTTTTTTACTCAGCTAAACTGTTTTTTCTCACTGCTAGGAGCCTAAGTACCCTATCAGTCTGTGATTAGATTTTGATGCCAGGTGAGGAGAACCTGTGTAATGTTGCATAAAACTCAATTATTGCTGTTAAACAACTACTGTCAAATCTTAATGAAGCCCTCTCACTGCAGAGAAATGAGACATCTTATTCTTTCCCTTGTCCTTCTGGGAGGTGTAAATATATAATTAAATTTGATGTCATTAATCACTTTCAAGTTGTTTGCTTTGGGCTTTCAAATATAAACCATTCAGAATCTCAATTTGATTAAAGATCATGGACAACTCAAATTCACTAGGATCCTGGGGGTAGGTGAGGCTATGATTTGTATAATTGACAAAATCCACATTTTAAAGACATATTTATTATAGTTATTTAAAATCTTTGTCTGCTAGTTCTTAACATCTGGATTGTCTATGGATGTGTTTCTGTTTTTATCAACTGTTCTTTCTTTGGACCATGGGTATGATTTCCCTTTACTTCACATGGTAGTTTTACATTATTTACTGGACATTGTGGGTAATACATTTTAAAGTTTGTTTCCCACTAAAGAATGTTGAGTTTTGTCAAGATTGGCAGATCATCTTTATCCTATGGATGCTA